TCTACTAAAATTACCGATTAATTAAACAATCACATGTAAAATAAAAGCAAGTAAAGTTTATAGTGATACCGAATTTTAGCGAGGAAACCAATTGGAAAAACCTCAAGGTTTTGTGCGCTATCCCAAACATAAAAAGATCCATTATTTATGAAGAAAAGTACACAGAACTTTGACTCAGACTTAAATCCCTTCACTCTACCAAGACTCAATCTGCTGAATGTCTCTAACTTTGCAACTTCTTGTCCAATAGCTCTAGACTTCAGACTAATGCCTATAACCTTGTAAGAGGATTACTGGTAGATCAACAACACTCCACAAGTGCCTTGATCCTTTCAAAGTGTCATTTAAAAATTCTTCTTATTTGAATCTAAATTTGATGTAGAAGAAATAGATCTGTTTTCTCTTATTGTTGTATATATAGTGTGTATGCTCTTAAAAATCTCACAAAAAGGATTTTACAAGAAATCAGAAGTTTAATGCAAAAAGCCACCCCAACCTAGATGAGAAAACATGTTTATATATATAGACTTTCAAAAATCTAGATATACTCGAAAAAAAAGTTAAATTCATGCACAAGTTTTTGGAAAGAAGTCTATACCAAATAGGAAGTTAAAATAGATCAAGAAACTAAGTTACTAAAAATTTTCTAAAGAACTTGAACTAGTTCAGAGTAGTTAAACCGATTCAAGTTGGCCAGTGTTGATTTTGTTTTAAGAAAATTGAAGTATTGACCGATTCAGCTACCTGGAACCGGTTCAAGTTGGCCAAACTTGAACTGAAAGTTAACACTTAGAAAATTTTTGTAGTTTTGAAAATCTCATGTATGTAACTGTCCTAACCTTTTAACTCAACTTCCCAAAGTGTTGTTCTTACCTTTTTGTAGGCTTTCAGCTATCGACACGAACAACTCTTCTACTTCTCAATTGATCTCGATCTTAAATTTTAAACTTGGAAATGCAAGTCGATCGGACTTGTTTTGATACCGAAAATAGCCAATTACAAAATATATATCTCACAATTTGTTTAGGACTTTGTTCATAGAAGAATCAATTAAGGGATCAGTGGATGTGGCCGCTTCCTAAAATTTTTATTATTATTTTATATACAAAATTACTTATAATTTTCTGAGTCGGCCACTCCCAATGTTAGGGGCCTCCTTATTTGGTTCCATAGGCCTATCTTTTTGTAGCTAGCTTGTTTATTTGTATATATATTTATTTATTTTCATATAAAGACGCATGGGAAATGGCACATAACATCACTAATGACTAAAGACTATTTTTTTCCATTGGCAAGAAGAAACTCATGCTGGAAAAAATGATTATGATAATTCACGTAAATCATTTGCAGTTACATATATGACAGAAATCATTATTCAAAAAAAGTTGGATCATAACTTGGAGGCATGTAAATGCTTCTTGAAGATAGTCGAAGCCTCCCATAAGGTGCAAGGGATCATGTCAGTTCTATCTCCCGAATTCAACTAAGCCTAGACTCGATCCAACCACAACATATTTGTATGATAAACTATTGGGTGCAAACACTTAATCTCTTTTCAGAATGTCCAAGTATGAAAATAGAAGGGAAAACTTCTAAACATGCAGTTAAGAAAACTAGAGTATGAGAGGGATTGAACTTCTCCACAGTTCATCCATATGTGATCCATACTTTAGTGAGAAAGGTATGGTCGTATATAGACCTCATAAAATGAACCTCATAAATATGTTTAAACCTCGAGATATATGATTTTAGAATATTCATGTTCCAACACAATGAATTTATATAAATACATTGATGTATTGCGCTTAAGTTAAAATGGTCCATTCCGAAAATGAAGTTAGATATATACATTCATTGATAAATGTAAAAATATTTCCTTAGTTGATACTTGAACCACCCAAAATATAGTATATACATGTAAACACATTTAGAACTTGACTGTTTAGGGGGTATGAATCAAAATAATTATACTTTAATTATATATAAATATATTTTCAAAATTATTAATTTTATTATTTTAAAACATTTTTCAACAATCCCCCACTTGTTTTAAAATAAATCTCAAAAAATTGGAAATAAAATCTCATTACTTGGGCATTCACAAAAGTTATGTGCATGAATAAATCAGAGCTTACTCGAGAACGTTAGTGGACGAATCTTGAACTAACGAACCCATATGGGCAAACCAAACTTGTCACACACATATTCCTTTTAGAGATTGTTTTGCATCTAGCTCTGCACTTTTAAGGTTTGTGCTTCATCCCATTTTCTCATTGAGAGCTCTAGAAATAGCCTGAAGTCTCACAGAAGGTGACTAACATTCACTCTCAACTAGGTGAATCTATCAGGAGTGTCTTGTAGTCACCCCGACAAAAAAAATGTCAATAGGTGCATTAAGAGACAAATCTTATCTTCCAAATTATTACAAGACTTTTTGCACTACTTACACCATAAGAAAGAGACTATCAAGTTTCACAGTGTAGTGTACCAATAATAACTGTCATCTTGGTTCATTTTTCCTATTGAACCTAAGAAACTCATCAGGTTAGGTATCCCCAAGTACAGTTTATTTCCAAACTCAATCCCAATCCCCTCGATGTATTTAAGATCATCTGTCATCAAAGAAATACTTGGGCAATGGGTCTACCACATTTATCAAATACTTTATGGCCTCTATACCATAAGTAACTAAACCCACAAATGATGATCATATAGATGAATTTCTTGAGATCATTCTCATTGTATAATATAGTTTCATATCACAATAAAGTGAATGCTAGTTTTATTAGCTCATAATGGTACATATACCAATCTCAAAATGAGTTGCTCGTTCCTATCTCTTTGTAAGAGAAGATAATAACAACAGTCATTCTCTCATTAACTCGAGAGTGCTAATAATGCAGTCATTCTCTCATTAACTCGAGAAAGATAAGAATTCAACCATCCTCTCATTAACTCAAGATGGCTAAAAATTCAATCACATGTATCCTCTGGTTCTCTCTTTCTTTCCTCACAGTTTCTCCTTCTCCCTCTCTCTGCATCCCTCTTTTCCTCTCTTTGATATAATTCACGTAAAACCCTCTTTGGCAGACTAATACACACATATATAGTTTACATAACAACCAAATTCTAATCCTATTATACTTATAACTTACAGAAAAAGAAAAGGAAAATAACTATAATAATAATTATAATAATAATAGTAATAATCTGCATATATATACCATATATATATATATATATACACATATATATATGTATTATTATTTAGTTATAATAATAATAATGCATAGTTATATATATATCTAAAATACACCCATGGGTTATAATTCTTTCCCATCTAGGCTCCTATTTAAGTAGTCTATTAGACCTATTTGATTGGTTCATTACTGCTACAATGCGGTAAGGTATGCATCATAATCAAAGAATAATCAATTTAAAATCATAGCCACATAATCAAAGGATAATCAATAGTCCATGATAGGTAATTTTTGCCTGAAGTATCAAGGGCCACAAAGTCAAGCTTGGTAAAGTTCAACATTATCAGGAAACAATAAATAACACTGTTAGAATCACATATTTATTATTGAACTTAGGTATGCATCATAATCAAAGAATAGTCAACCTATTTATCATAAAAGAACAAGGGACTTGGTGACTTCAGGCCACAAAGTCAAGCTTGGTAAAGTTCAACATTTTCAGGAAACGATAAATAACACCGTTAGAATCACATATTTATTATCGAACTTAGGTATGCATCATAATCAAAGAATAGTTAATCTATATATCATAAAAGAACAAGGGACTTGGTGGCTAGTTAACTCAACTTGCTCCTTAAAGGACCACCATTGCTCCTTAAAGGACCACCATTTGATTCCCCAACACCCCCCCGGCCCCATTTTATGTATGAATCATATTTCAACAAAAAGTACCCCCCTCCATATATATGAATCATATTTCAACAAAAAGTATAATCATATGCGCAAAAATTTCGAGTTCGCAAAGAGTATCAAGTTTCCATAAAATTTCAGGCTCACAAAGTATATATTAGTGTGTGCAAAACTCCGAATTTGCAATATTAAATATAAATAATTTAACATTTTCAGGCTCAACAATTTTAAGAATCAATAAAAGTATTATATTATACATGATTATATTTTTTATCTTTTGGAGTGAGACAGAAAAATAAATATATATTTTTTTCACTTGGTTGGGATTCGCGGCCATAACGTCTTCTAATAGATAAGGGTATACCACTAAGAACTTTAGATAAGAGTGATGAAACAAATAATTCAGAGACTGAGAGAAAGTCAATATAATTTTTCCAACTCACGTCAAGGACAAATTTGGTGGTTTTGCTGACAAATGATAACATTGCATTTAAGGAGGATGTCGAGTATGAGATTCCGTTTCGGTGTTTTAGTCCTTAGGTGGACCCCATATCTCTAACAATAAGTTAAAATAAGTGCTGTGTGCCCTTTCTCAGCAAGCTGGTACCCTATTTATTTTTTTATGTTTAATTAATTCAAATAGTGATATTTTTGTCTTTTAGTTCCTTTTGTCAATAAAAATAAATCGTTTGCCTTTTAGGTTCAAATGTTATCAGTTGGAATAGTTGAGCAAAATTATTATTATTATTATTATTATTATTATTTTGACAAGAAACACATTTATACATTAGCAATGTTCTCATGTATATTAGAATTTTTCACATTCTTTTTTAGAAGGTAAGAAAATATTATTTTTGTTTTGTTTTATTTATTATTTATTTCTTTCGTAATAAATCACAAGAACAGAATTTGAATACCAACACATCCGTTCAAGAATTAATACTCTATCAAACTAAATAACTAGATAGTGTCAAATTATACCACGTCATACTATGCTTGAAACTTAAATCATACCATCCTCAAGGGTAACAATATTTTATCTTTTAACAGAAATGGGATAAGTCCTACCTACCATTCTGTCATATTTCTAATATATATATACACACAAAAAGAGTTCTATTGTTTTGTCACAAGTGACTAAGAAAATAGAAAAATGGGAAGCAATAGTATCCCAAGGATTCGAGTAGGTTCAACAAGCCTTCCGGTGCTGGGATTCGGAACAGCTGTGTTCCCTTTTGCTGCATCAGAAACCATGAAAGAATCCATCCTCCATGCAATCAAACTTGGCTACAGACACTTCGACACCGCCGCCGTTTACAACTCCGAACCGTCTCTTGGTGAAGCCATAGCAGAAGCTCTGCGTCTTCGCCTCATAACGTCTCGTGAAGGGTTATTCATCACCTCAAAGCTCTGGTGCAGCGATGGACACCCTCACCTTGTCCTCCCTGCACTACAAACCACTTTGCAGTAAGTAATATATATGCATGCAGTACCCAATTAATTAGCTAGTCATATATGAATCGGGATCCTCTCCCATGTCACTTCCTCATCTCGCGTTTATGTCTTTACATTGTGAATTGAGATCCTTTATGCAAGGAATTTACATCGTTTCTGTAATAACTATATTACATCATTATCTTATGATATTTTACTTTGTAACATTATAATGTAGTATGTTGCACCAGTGATATAGGACGAACTAGGTACAGGATGCCCTCCACAGGAGAGGATCCAGATTAAGTCACATATACTATACATGTTGTACTCTTATGTTCCCAATTAATTAATTAGTAGGTATATAACAAATTATTTATTTATTTATTTATTTTCTAATTCTATAATTTGTTGTATTTAGGAAGCTGGGATTGGAGTATATTGATCTTTATCTCATCCACTTTCCGGTGAGCTTGAAGCCGGGAACCGGCTATGAGGTGCCTTTCAATAAGGAGAATCTTGTTCCCATGGATTTCAAGTGCGTTTGGGAAGCCATGGAGGAGTGTCATAGACTTGGCCTCACCAAAAACATTGGAGTCAGCAATTTCTCTTGTAAGAAGCTAGACCAGTTACTTCTAACTTCAAACATCACTCCCATGGTCAATCAGGTGAGTTTTTATATTTTCAGCAAGCTAGCTAGCATCATAATTATGTTTAGCCATGGTAATATGTCATTGCATAATTGGTACAACGATAATTATTTATAAAGTTAGAGTTTGAACAAAATAAAGAGCCGAAAACCCCTCATCGGTTGGATACATTCAATTAGGGGTGATGGACCCCTTACAAGTTAAAGTGTGTGTTGAATGGGAAGCTTTCGGCTACTCCATTTTATTCTTACATTTGAAGTTGGATATCATTACTCTTGGAACAATTTTGCAGTGATTCGAGTCTGAGAATTCTTTACTTATGGCCTATTTAGTACGCGTTTTATTTTTGGTATTTTTTATTTTTGTCAAATACTGTAGCTGTGAATAGTGAAAAAATCATGTTAGGTAAGATATGTTTTATTTTGGGCAGTGTCGAAATGTTTGTGAATAGTGGTAAAAAATCGAAACATCAATATAATATTTTTATATCCTTCAGCATTGTAGCAACGAGTATTGTAACGATAAAACAGTAATTTTTTAAATTTTTCTTAAAAACCTTTTAAATATTATTTTTAAATTAATTATTATATATTTTTAAACTAACCCGTACTAAAGCATGTTTTCAAAAAACTTATTTTATTTTAACGATTAAAGGCAAATCGCAAATCCAATAGGTCTTATTAATGCAAAAGGCTAGTTTTGTTCAGTCATTGACACATTGTCCATTAATAGTCAACAATAAGATAGAGTCGACACGTAGTATGACGTAATATTATTGAAATTCTTGCAAAATTATTTTCTAAAGTGTACTGCGTGTGTTCCAATCGCATAATGTTGACCCATCAGTGCATCGTAGCGGACTAAAATTTCTTCTTACACTCACGTATGAACCTTTTTTCTTCTTCTTATCCCTTTTTTTTATTAAAAGAAAATTTTATGAACTTAATGTCTGTATTTTAAAATTTTTAATTTTTCTTCATTGTAAATTTTTACAAATAATGATATTATATTTGAACATGTTAAAATAAAATAGAATAATTTTTTTACCATGTCTAATTCGTAAGTCCTGAAATAAATTTATGGGCCCATCACTAGATGGCTCAAAGAGAATTTGAACTCCCATTATTCAACTTTATCATGTTATTTATAATTATATCAAATTTTATGAATTACCTGAATCAGTCAAAATTATTATTTTCATATGATATTTTTAAGTTCTTTATTTCTTCATTTTTCAAGTACTAATTAATTAATTGATGTAATTTCTTGAGAAAATGACTGATGTGCAAACCATTATGGCTTTTAATTGAAGGTGGAGATGAGCCCACTTTGGCAGCAAAATAAGCTCAGAGAGTTTTGTGAGAAAAAGGGAATCCATGTCGTTGCTTATTCACCTTTAGGGGCAAGAGGAACATTATGGGGAACCAACCAAGTCTTAGATTGTGAGATTCTGAAAGAGATTGCCAAGGCCAGGGGAAAGACAGTTGCTCAAGTAAAATTTCCATATGCGTGTGTGTTAAGTGTGGAAACACTCCTTTATCATGGTTACAATGCATATCTCATCTCTCTGTTAGGAGAATTCAAGGACAGATTCTGGCAACTTGAATCTCTCACAATCCAGTAAAAAAATATATTATCCCTCTATGTGTAAATCTATTAGGAAGCAATTAAATAGAGCACAATAATCTGAAAAAGATAATCAACATCACACACACAAATGACACAATTAATTTTAGAGTGGAAAAATCTCCCCAGTGTGGGAAGCAAAAAACTACGGGACCGTAGTCCACCGAATCTCCACTGTCAACAAATAATAGGTGTACAATAGTTCTCTCTAGTTACAACTAGAGGTAAACAATCTCAAGAAATAATCTTTCTTGGCAACAAAACATCCTTTAATCAAAGATTAAGGAGAGATCTCATCAAACAGAGGTACTATTCACGAACCCAAAAACTACGGAAGAATACTCGAAATCCAATCTCTACCGTTCAGAATTTAGAGCCTTGTATTGCAAACCCACCCCTGCCAAATTTCAGCTTGATCGGACCACAAACACTTGCTGATCGAAGCTCTTGATGAAATCTTGTCGCACTTGAAAAATTCTGGTTTTTGAAATTTCTCTCTCGTTTTGGCAGCAGAAGAGGCCTCTCTTCGTTACCTCAAAACAGTAGAAACATACAAATATATATGTGTGTATATATGTGGGTTTCAAACCCACATGGGCTTCACTTGGACCATCCTTAAATTAGGAGGGAACCCAGCCCAACAAATCTCCCCCTTGTTGACTGAGTGGGAGGATTCGTCATCCCAACGATCAAGCGGCAAATCTTAAGCTTCTCTCTTGCCAGAGCCTTCGTTAACATGTCTAAGCCATTGCGATCTATATGATCTTTTCAAGTTCCAACAACTTGTCATTAAAAGCGTCTCTGATCCAATGGTATTTCACATCAATATGCTTCGATCTAGCATGAAAAGTAGAATTTTTAGCAATGTGAATAACACTCTGATTATCACAAAACAAAACATATTTTTGTTACTTAAAACCAAGTTCTCTAAAAAAAAAAATCATCTATAGCAACTCTTTATAAGCTTCTGTTGCTGCAATAAACTTTGCCTCTGTTGTAGAAAGTGCAACACATTTTTGCAACCTCGACTGCCAAGAAACGGCCCCACTTGAGAAAGTGATCAAATATCCCGAAGTAGACTTACGGGTATCCACATCTCCTGCCATATCTACATCTGCATAGCCAACTAGCACTGGTTTGCCACTTCCAAAGCCGAGTCTGAACCTGGTAGTGCCTCGAAGATACCTCATAATCCACTTTATCGCATTCCAATTCCCTCTTCCTGGATTTGAAAGAAACCGGTTAACAACACCAACTGCCTGGGCTATGTCTAGCCTTGTGCAAACCATTGCATACATTAAGATTCATACTACTGAGGCATATGGAACTCTTTCCATATCTTCCTTCTCTTTATCTGTTGAAGGAATTTGCTTGGTGCTTAACTTAAAGTGAGTAGCAAGAGGAGAGCTAACCACTTTAGCATTATCCATTTTGAACCTTTCAAGCACCTTTCCAATGTATTGCTCTTGTGATATATACAACTTTTTCTCTTTTCTGTCTTGATAAATACGAAGACTAAGAATTTGTTTTGTTGGCCTCAAGTTCTTCACAATAAAGGATTGACTTAGCTACTTTTTCAATTTGTCAATTCTTGAAAGATTCCTGCCAACAATCAACATGTCATCAACATATAACAATAAAATAACAAAATCATCATCACAGAATTTCTGCACAAATACATAATGGTCAGAAATAGTCTTCCTGTAGCCTTGTTGCCCCCATAACTGACTCAAACTTTTTATACCACTATTAGGTGCTTGCTTCAAGCCATAAAGACTTTTCTTTAGCTGACATACATAATCCTCTTTTCCTTTCACCCTAAAACCCTATGGTTGCTCCATATAAATCTTCTCCTCCAAGTCACCATGAAGGAAGGCAGTTTTCACATCCATTTGCTCAATCTCTAAGTCTAGGCTAGTTACTAAGCCAAGAACCACACGTATAGAAGACATTTTCACAATTGGAGGGAAAATCTCATCAAAATCAATGCCTTTTCTCTAACTGAATCCTTTGACAAGTAGTCTAGCTTTGTACCGTGGTCGTGAAGTGTGTTCTTCTTGCTTCACCCTGTAAATCCACCTGTTCTTCAAAGCTCTGTTTTCTCTAAGCAACTTCACCAGCTAAAAGATATGATTGTCATGTAATGACTGTATCTCATCTTGCAATATATCAACCCACTCTGTCTTATGTTCATCTTCTATGGCTTCTGCATAACACTCAGGTTCTCCTCCATCAATCAGTAACACATACTCATCTATAGAATACCGAGTAGAAAGGTGTCAGTCTTTAATAGACCTCCTGAATGGAACATCTGGTGGTGTCTCTGGCACTAGCAACTAATCAATCTCAATCTGTAAAAGAGCATCACTGTCACCTAGACCCTGCTGGTCATCCTGAACATCATGTTCAACATGTGCTAGAAAATCTATCAAAGAAAGTGGATCCAAGTCAATCAAACCATCATCGTACTAAGGCACTGCTTTATCTGTTTTCTCAATATATTGTATGGTTTGATTTTCCATAAACACAACATCTTTACTCCTCACTAGTTTCTTGTCAACTAGATCATATAACCTGTTGCCAAACTTATCCAGGCCATACCCTAGAAAAATTCATTGTCGGGTCTTCACATCAAGCTTAGACCTCTCATCTTTGGGAATATGCATAAAAGCCTTACACCTAAAGACACACAAATGATCATAAGAAACATCCTTGCCAGTCCAAACTCTGTCACCTACATTAAACTGAAGAGAAGTACATGGTGTGATATTAAAAGCATGTACAGCTGTACTCAAAGCTTCACCTTAAAAGAATCTTGGCAATTGTGCCTGTGAAAGCAAGCATCTTACCCTCTTAACTAGTGTCATGTTCATCCTTTCAGCTAAACCATCCAACTGAGGAGTCTTGGGAGGCATCTTTTGATGTAGAATACCCTGCTGTCTACAATAGTCATCAAAATGACCTATGTACTCTCCCCCATTATCTATTCTAACGCACTTCAGTTTATTTCTAGTCTGCCTTTCAACTAAAGCCTTAAATTGTTTAAACATATCCAACACTTGATCTTTTCTTCTTAAGGTATACACCCACAATTTCTTTAAATGATCATCTATGAAGGTCATAAAATAAAGAGAGCCGCTGAGTGATCTCATCTTTATAGGGCCATAGACATCTTAATGTATCAAGTCAAGTATACCTGGCTTTCTTTAAGGAGGGGAACTCTTGAAGGAAACTCTATTATGTTTCCCTGCCAAACAATGAGTACATTTTTTCAAAGATGCACTCTTAATTCCTGATAGGAGATTCTTTTTAGCCAATATTGTCAAGCCTTTCTCACTCATGTGAACAAGCCTCTTATGCCACAACTCAACTGCATACTCATACTCCATTGAATTAATAGTGTCTTTGAAGATTCTTACCTACAATATGTACAAATTAGAAAACTTCTTGCTTCAAGCAACTATCATAACACCCCTAGTGAGCTTCCACTGGCCATCACTAAAGGAGCTGCAATAACCATCATCATCAAGTTTGCCTATAGAAATCAAATTTAAGCGGATCTCAGGAATCTGCCTTACATCTTTAAGGACCAATCTTGTGCCATTATTCATTTCCAGGCACACATCTCTAATACCAATGATTTTGGCCAATCCATCATTTCCCATCTTTAGTGTCCCAAAGTCACCTGGTGTGTAAGATGTGAAGGCATCCTCTCAAGATATAGCATGAATAGAGGCACCACTATTAATAACCCAGCTGGTCTCATGGTATGCAATATTAATAACATCATCATCATAAACAATAAAGAAGTCTTCGAAAGTAGTGGTGGCAACTCGATTATCATCCTTGCCATCATCATTCTTTTTCTCATTCCCTTTTCTCTTTGTTCTCTCTCTCTTCAACTTTTTGTAATGTTTTTGATGTGCCCCTTCATGCCACAATGATAACACTTAACATTAGCAAATGGTGTGTGCCGTCCCAATGCACCAAATTTAATGCAAAAGTGGAATGTAGTGTGGCCAAGTTTGAATTTATAGAGTGCCACTACTACCTCTAACTACTAATATAGCTAGGGTGAGTAGGGATTATCCCAAGGAAAAATGGCAGTATTTATATGGAAACAATGTTAGATTAGTAGGTCAAGTGATCCAAAGATGGTTTGTTTGATTAATTAACTACAATGTCAATTAAATGGAAGCAAGGTAAAGCAATTGAAGTAGAGTAAAATGTAGAAAATAATAGAGAATGGTCTTGGGACTTAGAGGTCACTACTAAACATCACCTTCATAGACACTCAATGTGTAATGAATGAGGGGGATTATGTGTTGCAATACTAGTGTGTGTCATTGATTGAATCAACAAGCATGGATGACTAAATAAGTATATATTGTCTAGACAAACTAGTGAATAGCACAACATATCAACTTAAGCCATTATTCCTTCCTTTAAGTCCACAATCAATACACATCATCAAATTAGATAAATATACTACTTGTATTCATAAGTATGGAACATCAAACAATAAGCATGGATTGTCCTCCCATCAAGAAATGACATGAAAATTAAACTAAGGAAGATGCACAATCTATCAAGAAATGAGTATGAACCATCAAATAAACCTTAAGAGTATTCCATTTAAACACCATGCCTTGACCATCACCAGATTCATAGCATCAACACACATAGACATGCATCAATATCACAAAACCTAGAGATAAACACATGAACATCTATTTTAGCATACATAGACATATGAATAGAATGAAATGATCAATTGGAAGTATTAAACTACACAAATCATGGTAGAAACAAGATTTTTATATATATATCAAAGGTCAAGACAAGAATTACAATGCTAATCCCTATTAATTACAAAACATCAAAGTCTATGAGGCATCCTTAGGGCTAGCTCTAGCCCCAAGAAGATGTTTAGCCATTCATTGATGTTGTCATCCAACCCTCAAGGGCTATCTCTATGCCAGAAATGATCTTCTTCCTCCTTGGTAGAAACCCTAAAAGAGATGAAGAACTTTTCCAATTTATGTATATCTCTCTCTAATCTCTAGCCAAGTCTCCATAATCTAACCAATCTCCTTACTCAAAATAGCCAAAATCCTTATATAGGTAGCTCAAATGTCACACCCAATGGTTAGACCTCGTACACTAGGACCTCCCAATGATTGCACCATGAGCACACATTTAATTTGGCTTGAAATCAATTTTTCACCCAACTCGAGGCAGTTCGATCGATCTCAAGGTTGGTTCGATCGATCGAACCTTGGCGGTGCCTTTTTGGAATAAAGACAAGGCTGAGATATTTTTGGGAAGAGAACAAAAGTGGTAGGTGAGGATAAGATCAAAGATGTTCGATCGATCGAAGAAATGTTGGATCGATTGAAGAAGGCATTTTGCTGAGGATAAAGATAAAAGGCTCGATCCATCTTGGCAATGTTAGAACGATCACTGTGTGATCGATCTGAGCTCTTTTCGATCGATCGAAGAGTGCGTCCTTTCACCAACTTGCTTCCATTATGCTTCTTTCTTCCATTGAGCTTGAGATTGCATCTTTTATGCTCTAATTCAGCTGGATTAACTTATTTTGAGGATAAGTTCCTGAAAAGGGAAATAACATGAAATTAGACTAAAACGGGAAAATAAGATAGGATAAGGTACTAGAACTTTCAAGCTTAAGAGGTTTAAATGTGCACTTTTCAGTGCTCATCAGCAAACTTGTTGGAATTGCTTCTGCCTTTATCTTTATTCTTCTGACCTCTGCTCTTACTCCTCCCCCTATTTTCTGTAACCAAAACCTTTAACTATGAACTGGATCCCTATGATTTCCTTCTCATCACTTCATTCAAAACACTGTTCTTAGCCAAATCAATATTGATTAAGCCATCCGGAAATGAATTAGACAATGACATTATAAAGGTCTACCATTAGTCCGGCAATGTACCACGCAGACACAACCCCTGTACCTCATCATTAAAGTTAAAACCCATTCTAGCTAGTTGATTAATTATTCCTTGGAAAGTGTTCAAGTGATTTGTTATTGGAGTCCCATCTTGGTATCTCAAAGTCATCAAGTGTTTTATCAAAAACATCTTGTTATTTCCAATCTTCCGGGCATATAACTGCTCAAGCTTATTCCAAAGTGTGTGTGCATGTGTCTCTTCAACAATATGGTTTAAAACATTATCATCGACCCATTGTCTAATATATCCACACACTTACCAATGTAGTAATGCCCATTCTTCATCAGATTTATTATCAGGCTTCTCACTAACAAACATCGGTAAATGAAATTGTTTCACATAAAGAAAGTCTTCAATTTTTCCTTTCCAGGTGTGGTAATTTGAACCATTAAAAGTGACCATTCTACTTAAGTTAGCTTCCATCATTTAACACAAGTGATTCAACAATAATAATAACCTGGCTCTGATACCACTTGTTAGGTGAATTCAAGGACAGATTCTGGCAACCTGAATCTCTCACAAACCAGCTAAAAATATATTATCCCTCTATGTGTAAATCTGTTAGGAAGCAATTAAATAGAGTACAATAATCTGATAAAGATTATCAACATCACACACACAAATGACACAATCAATTTTAGCATGGAAAATCTCTCCAGTGTGGGAAGCAAAAAATCACGGGACCGTAGTCCACCAAAACTCCACTATTAACAAATAATGGGTGTACAAGAGAAAACTCTAGTTAGAACTAGAGGTAAATAATCTCAAGAAATAATTTTTCTTGGCAACAAAACATCTTTTAATTAAAGATTAAGGAGAGATCTCACCAAATAGAGGTACTATTCAATGACCCAAAAACTGCTCCAGAATGCTCGAAATCCAATCCCTACCATTCAAAATATAAAGCCTTGTATTGCGAACCCACCTGCCAAATTTTAGCTCAATTAAACCACAAACACCTGCTGATTGGAACTCTTGATGAAATTTGGTTGCACTTGAACAATTCCGGCTTTTGGAATTTTCTCTCTGGTTTCGACAGCAGATGACCTCTCTTCGTCACCTCAATATAGTAGAAACATATATGTGTGTGTGTGCATGTGTGTGTGTGTGGGCTTCACTTGGGCTATCATCAAATTATGAAGGAACCAGCCCAACACTTTCATGTGCACAAAATACTCCCAAAGTAATAATTTGATGCAAATAAATCCCGCCTGACATGTTATGCTCAAATTTGAGACATTTTACACATTATTTAAAAAAATATATCATTTTGTGAAATGACGAAAAAAGCCAAAAGTAAAAAAGGGTTAAGTGAACACAAAAAAAAAGGGTTTGTGAGTACCAAATACCAAAAAAAAAAAAAAAAGGGGGGGGGGGGGGGGGGGGCGTTTGTTGAGTGTGGAAAACATCTCTTTACCATTATTACAGTGTGTATCATACCCCTTACGTGCACAAAACACCTCTAAAGTATTAATTTAATACAAATAAGTTTCACATAACATGATATGCCCAAATTACCTTTTACATATAATTAAAAAATATATATCATTTTTGTGTATATTTTGTTCGATGAATATGAGGATATGTAATTTTATATTTGCACACAATAATATGTAGTTTATGTATTATTTTGTTCCATTCTTATTTGATTTATGCATATATAAATTTATAGGGAAATATGAGTTTATAGATGTTATTAAAATCTATCTTATTTTTAATTAGGAATTATCCAAAATATTTAAGCACAGGAAACAAAAGTGGATGATGAGATACATATCTTTTAAATTTTATTTTATCTATATTTTTGTTTATTAATTTATTAAATAGTGTATCAATATTTGTTTATTAATTTATTATGTAGTGTATATATTATTTTTGAGAAATATAGAGAGTAGAGGAAATATATAGAGAGAGAAAATAACCTTATGAGTGGGTTAAATTTAGTTGATGCGTACATAACACTACTCTACTATGAAAATATATATAATACATAACCCCTTAGGCATTTTTCGAAAAGGCAAAATAACAAAACGAGCATTAAGCTATTATTTTATAAGGGTTGCATATAATACTCTAGTAGTGTTTTCGGCACTTAACTCATATATCTTTAGATATAGTTATATTTAAAAAAATGATTGATTTTTTTGTGGGATTCTAATGAATAGAGTCCAATAAAGACTTTTTTTCATAAGAATAGGTACCCTCTCATCTTTATATGAATAGTGTCCATTACTCCTAAAGAAAAAAAGCTATAGATACTTTTATCATTTGTCTTGCATATAGAGAGAGTAAATTTATAATTGTCTTAACTATAGATACTTTTATCATTTGTCTTGTACATAGAAAGAGTCTATTTATAATTGTCTTCATCTTTCTGCATGCAAAGGTTTGTTTGAGGTGGGTTTATGAGCAGGGAGTGAGCGTTCTTGTGAAGAGCTATAATAAGGAGAGAATTAAAGAGAATCTTGAGATATTCGATTGGACATTGAGCCTTGAGGATTGCCACAAGATTAGTCAAATTTCACAGCAGAAAAGGTATCATGGACTAGAATTCGTATGGGATAAAGGCCCATACAAATCTGCTCTTGAGTTTTGGGACAAGAAGATCTAATTCATGTTAAATATCACAAATCTTGTAAACAAGAAACTGCATTATTAAGCTAAGTTGGCCTTAAATAGCCGGACTTCTAACCCGATACATATTTGTGTGCTCTATATGCAAATCAATATAGCTATCAATATTGATATTAGATTATGTTTTTTTTTTTTTTTTTTTTTTCTTGTAATATAAGTTTATGGATTTTATGAAATTGCTTTTCTAGTACTATTGGTTTAAGACCATCCAATCATCTATTTCGCCATCCAAACAAAGAAATGTTATCCAGTTTATCACTTAAATAATAGTTTTCCAGAAACAAATATATATATATATATATATATATATATATATATATATATTTTCAAATCAATGTAAAAGACAATTATATGAAAAAATGCAGATTTTTCTTTTACTTGAGCTTTGGTAAAACAATTTTCAGAAATTGTCAAACAAATAGGTTTTTATACAAAAATTTTTATTTTTTATTTTCAAAAAAAGGAAAGTGTTCTAAAAAAATTGAATTAAGCAGTTGTTTTCTTTAGACTCTTCGAGTCCCTTTTCCTAATAGAACATGATATATAAAAGATTTACGTGCAAATAAAAAATAAATAAAAAAAAAGCCTATACTATTGATATAGTGCATATACCCCTTCCCCTTCCCTCGGGTGGTATACAATACCCCCATACTTCTAATTTGGTGCAAATATCCCTTGTCCAGATAAAAAGACTATAATGCCCTCTAATTAATTGTATAATGGAATAATACTAAAAAAAATTAAAAGTTTGGCAATGTAAAATGACTAGTTTAGACAATTCCCAAACACCCTGGTTAGGGATTCATTGTGTACAAAGTCTATATTGCCCTTAAGTCTTACTTGACACATTTAAGTTAGTGTTTACCTACTTGACACATTTAAGTTATAAGTTTGCCTAAATTTCCTTCACTGAGATATTTTACAAATTATTTAAAAATGCATTGTTTTGTGCAATGACATAAAAGGACACAAAATAGCACATTAACCTCAATCAAACCACCTAACTGAAGATGCAATAATCTACTCGCTATATTTAGAAAGTAAATTTGTTACACTTCAATCGAATCTCTTTACATATCTTTCCTTTTTCTATTTATAGAAGTCTCTCTTTGCCCTAATAACTTCTTGGGCCTCTTCAAACCCAAAGATAATATGGGCCTAATCCTTCATCAACAGGCTCAGCCTTCGTTTGGGTAGATCCCTAGGTTGAAACAAGCCTTGAATAAGAATGAGTGGGCTAGGAGATCGCTGGGCTTCTTTCTTATCTGGTGGGTTAGGCTGATCCTAGTCAGTGGGATTTTATACCCCTTCATCTGCCCCCTTAATCTCTCTCTCATTTATGAGAATGAGATTAATGAGGGGACGTCATGATTGATGTGACGGCTCAAAGCAATGATGCGGGGAGATGGATGGTCCGTACGGAGATCCAAATCTTAAAGAAAACTGGGGCTTCATCATTGCGCTGTGACACTTTGGTTAGCGTGACGGTCCTCTATAAAACAACTGACCTACTTCTTCAAGCTTTTCTTCTGTCTTCCTCATCCTTCGACCAGGCTTAGCTCGAGGTTAAACCTGGTGAGAAATGCTTGTAATCTCTCTAGCTCCCTTATGCTGCCTCATAGTGAATAAGCTGGACACACTCTTCTGGATCTGTTGATTGCCGAAGTATTGCGTTATAAACGCTTCGCACAACTGGCGAAAACCTCCAATGGATCCCCTTGGCAAATGATTAAACCACTTAAGAGCTGGTACAGTCAAAATTATTGGAAACACTCGTCACATTAGGGCATTTATCATCATTGTGCAAAGCCATCTTCAGCTGGACATGGTAAACATGGTCCATTAGATCTATTGAACCGTCAAGTATATTGATCTTTATCTCATCCACTTTCCGGTGAGCTTGAAGCCAGAAACCAGCTATGAGATGCCTTTCAATAAGGAGAATCTTGTTCCCATGGATTTCAAGTGTGTTTGGGAAGCCATAGAGGAGTGTCATATACTTGGCCTCACCAAAAACATTGGAGTCAGCTATTTCTCTTGTAAGAAGCTAGACCAATTACTTTTAACTTCAAACATCACTCCCATGGTCAATCAAATGAGTTTTTATATTTTCAGCAAGCTAGCTAGCATCATAATTATGTTTAGCTAGGACATAATACTTCATTGCTTAATTGGTACAATAATAATTATTTATAAAGTTGAAGAGTTTGAACAAAATGAAGAGCTGAAAACCCTGAAAACCCCTCATCCGTTGGATATTCAATTAGGAGTGATGGAACCCGTTACAAGTAAAATTGTGTGTTGAATGGGAAGCTTTCGGCTACTCCATTTTATTCTTACATTTGGAGAATTCATCACTTGGGGCCTATTTAGTAAGCGTTTTGTTTTGATGTTTTTTTTTATTTTTGTCGAGTACTGTAGCAGTGAATAGTGAAAAAATCGTGTTAGGTATAATATGTTTTATTTTACGCCGTGTCGAAATGTTTGTGAATAATGGCCAAAAATCGAACCACCAATATAGTATTTTTACATACTTCAGCACTGTAGCAACGGGTACTCTAACGATAAACAATAAAATTTTTTTTTGTTTTTCTTGAAAAACTTTTAAATGTCATTTTTAAATTAACCATTATATTTTTTAAAACTGACAATATTAAAGCATGTTTTCAAAACACTTACTATTTTATTTTAACGACTAAAAACAAAACGCAAACCAAACATGTCTTACTAATGCAAAAGACTAGTTTTGTTGCATCATTGTCCATTAATAGTTGACGATAAGATAGAGTCGACATGTAGTATGACGTACTATTATTGAAATTCTTGCAAATTATTTTCTAAAGTGTAGTGCGTGTGTTCCAATCGCAATAATGTTGACCCATCAGTGCATCATCCTAGCGCACTAAAATTTCTTCTTGCACTCACATATGAACCTTTTTCTCTTCTTATCCCTTTTTTTTATTAAAAAAAAAAATTTATTGTTACAATTTTATGAACTTAATGTCTGTATTTTAAATTTTTAAATTTTTCTTTGTTGCAATTTTTTACAAATAATGATATTATATTTGAACATGTTAAAATATTTATTTTAGGGTAAAGTACAAAGACACCCCCTGAGGTTTAGGGAAAGGCCAAACAGAGGAAAGTTGGCTTGTTTTTGGACAAACACACCCCCTTGTGAAATTTATCCCCCAAACAGAGCCTTAAATCATGTGAAAAGTCCACTTTACCCTTCACTATTTTATTAATTTTAATTATAAAATATTAAAAACTTAAATGGCCAATTTACCCTTTTTATCTCTCTCTATATATACTTATATATATATATACACACACACACACACACACACACCAACAACCAGTCACCACCGCCCCCAACCTCCATAATCACCAACCCCCAACCTCAATAAGCTTAGCCTCGGTTCAGGCGGCGAACTCAGCCTCGGACAAGCTGGGTTTGACTTGGATTAACAGAGACGTTCCCCATTCCGATGTCTTTGATTCTTGACAGAGACGTTCCCTACGCCGTCGTCATCGAGCTTGGTCCTGGTCAGATTGTTTTTGCTCATCGGTTTCTAAACTCGCCACACTGTTCAGTCCGTGGCCTCATCGTCATCGGAGCTTGGTCCTCACCGGCAATTTCAGGGTTTCGCTGATGCTTTTGGGTTTCGCCGCCACCCCCACTGTCGCAGCCATCACCACAATCTCTCTTCTATCTTCTTCCTCTCTCTCCTCTTCACCTTATCTCTTCAACTATGGCCGCCCTCCTCTCTACACCCACCATCGCAGCCACAACCACCATCCATCTGATCTCCCTTCTCTCTCTCCTGGTGAACTGTATAATATACATTCGGGTTTGGGTTTAATCAAAGGGTACTTAAGTCAATTAAAATATTAATTTTATTTTAAAGGGTAATAAGGTCAATTCACCATCTTCAGGGTCTCTTTGTCCATTTTTCAAACTTGAAGGGGTGTCATTGTCCAAAAACAGGCCAACTTTCCTCTGCTTGGCCTTTCCCCAAACCTCAAGGGGTGTCTATGTACTTTACCCTTTATTTTATCTTGTTCAATTCATAAGTCCTAAAATAAATTTATGGGCCCATCACTGAGTACTTGAACTCCCATTATTCAACTTTATCATGTTATTTATAAATTTTATGAATTACCTTATTGTATTTGTGTTTGAATCACTCAAAATTATTATTTTCATATGACATTTTTAAGTTCTTTATTTCTTCAATTTTCAAGTACTAATTAATTAATTGATGTAATTTCTTGAGAAGATGACTGATGTTCAAAGCATTATTGGCTTTTAATTGAAGGTGGAGATGAGCCCACTTTGGTAGCAAAATAAGCTGAGAGAGGTTTGTGAGAAAAAAGGAATCCATGTCATTGCTTATTCACCTTTAGGTGCAAAAGGAACATTTTGGGGATCCAACCAAGTCTTAGATTGTGAGATTCTGAAAGAGATTGCCGAGGCTAGGGGAAAGACAGTTGCTCAGGTAAAATTTCCATGTGTCTGTATATATATATGTGTGTACACGTGTTAAGTGTGGAATCACTCCTATATTATGGATGCAGTGCATCTCACATCTTTCACGTGCACAAAATACTCACAAAGTAATAATTTGAAACAAATAAATATAAATAAATAAATAAATAATTTGATGTGAATAAATCCCACCAGACATGCATGATATGCTCAAAATACCCTTAGACATTTTACATATTATTTAAAAATATATATATTTTGAAAAATGACGAAAATGGCCAAAAGTTAAAAAGGGTTAAGTGCTTAAAACAACCCTGTTTTCCTCTCTACCACGTGCACAAAATATCCCAAAAGTATTTGGTACAAATAAGTTTCAGTTGACATGATATGCCCAAATTACCTATATTGAGACATTTTACGTATTATTTTTAAAAAGATCATTTTTATGTATATTTTGTTCCATGCACGTGATGACATGTAATTTTATATATGCAGAATGTAATATGTAATTTACGTATTTCTTGTTTGATTTATACATGTATAAATTTATAAGGGATTATGAGTTTATAGATGTGATTCTGAAGAGAGAGAGAGAGAGCATTGATCGATTTAGACTTCTGATCAGAACAAAATATTATTTTGGAGAAATGTAGAGAGTAAAAAAAAAAAAAACCACCAACCTTGAGAGTGGGTTAAATTTAGTTGTTGTGTACATAAC